CGAGTCCTGCAGGAGATTCGGATGCAGGCAGCTCACCTAAGGAACCGCCAAACTGAACCCACAGAAACTGTGAGGCGATACGTGTCGGGTGGTTTCTGTTTCCCTTGGTCTATACCGAGACAGACTCACGGCAGGAAGCCCCTGCTGGCTCGAGCTGCGCTGATCCTGCCTTAGTCTGTGAGATTCTGCATCAATCCAAAAGATGCACTACCTGGAAATCTGCAAATACTTGGAAACTAGATAACATGCTTTAGCATTACCCCGATTGAAAGAAAAGTTAAAAAGAGAAATTTGAAAGTATTTTGAAGTGATTGAAAGTAAGGCCACAAAAGATGGACTCCTGCGGATTTAGCTAAAGTAGTACAGAAGGGACATGCTTAGCACTGAAAGACTGGGTTCCAAAGGAAGAAAATCCTCATGTTGGTAATACTGGCTTCTACTTTGATAAGTCAGAAAATGCTGAGAAAATGAAACAGTATAAACAAAGGAGAATAATAGAGACCACAGCGGAAATCACTGAGACAGAAAACAGAAAAACAGTAGAGAAGAACCATCAAAGTAAAACAGGAGTGGGCAAGGCAGGAGTTCTCATAGCTTAAGCCAGAGAGGTGATGGTGTGACAGCCTCCCGAGCTAGTCAGCGGATCCCAGCAGCGCACTGTATGGCAACAGACGACAGCTCAGTTGAAAGAAATACAAATACAGACTATGAAATAGGACTCAGAAAGAAACAGTCAGAGGAGCTTTGTGTCCCGTAAAGAAATACAACTTGTGTGGCTGGGGAGATAGCTCAGCGGCATGAGCACCTGCCTGGCAAGCTCAAGGTCCTGAGTTCAAGCCCCGGAACCACACACACATACACACACACACACACACACACACACACACACACACATGAATTTGTAGTTAAAAACCATTCACAATTAAATTCTACACCCAGGTAGCTTCATTGGTGAGCTGTTCCATTTAGGAACACTTTAAGGTCTTTCAGAAAATAGAATAGGAGGGAACATTTTTCAAATCATTATTGAGGCCAGTGTTATTCTGATATCAAAATCAGACAAAAATAAATCACAAAACTACCGACTGATATATGAGAATGAATACAGATACTCAAAAAGTCACAGTAAATCAAACCCAACATTATATAAAAAAGATAATACTTCATAACTAAGTGTCATTTATCCCAGGAATGCAAAGTTGGCTTAACATTTTAAAATCACTTGGTGTAAATTTATCTACTCAAACACCCCCAAACACACCATACAGTTGTCTCCATACATGCAGAGATAAGCATCTAATAGAATTAAATATCCTCTCATAGTACATCTATCAACAAAGTAGGAATCCGAAGGCGCTCTCAGTCTTTGAGAAATGCACCTACAAAGTCCCTGCCTCGATTTCCTACTCAGTGTGAAGGGCTCAAAGCTCTCCTCCTGCGCAGGAGCAAGGAAGGTTGTCTGCTCTGAGCACCTGCGCCCTGCATCGTGCCGGAGGCTGTAGTCAGGGCATTAAGTCAGGAAAAAGCGAAAGGGGGCGTCCGGATCACAAAAGAAGCAAGCCTGTCTTTATTTTCAGGTGCCCTGGTTGCCTGCAAAGAAACCGTATTGCTTTTTATGAAGAGCTACTGGAGTGACTCATGAATTAGCAAGGTTGCCTGATACGAGATGAATACACAGTAATTATCAATTTTATAGAGTACATACACGGAACCAGAAATAGAAGTTTAAAACAATTTATTTACGATGGCATAAGCATGAAATCATTAGCGATAAACCTTATAAAATAGATGTAGACTCTGAGCACCAAAAACTCTAGAGGATAACTGAGGGAAATGAAGGAGGCCCTAAGTAAATGGGCTGGCATGAAATAGTCATAGGCTGAAAATCTCAGTCCTTTTTTGTTGGGAGAGGAACAGCTATGTAGCTGGGGCTGGCTTGGAGCTTGTGGCAACCCTCCTGTCTCAGCCTTCCAAGTGCTGGGATTGTAGGTGTGTACTGCCATGCATGGCTCAAGGCTCAGTATTTTTTTTTTTAAATGTATTTGGTTGTTATAGGGTCTCACTATACAGCTCAGACTCATAGTGATCCTCCTGTTTTCAGCCTCCCCAGCAGTGGGATTACACATATGTGCCACAAGGCTTGGACTCTGTGGCCTGCTCAGCCTGCCCTGGGGGAAGGGCTGGCACATCATGTGGTGCCAGGGATCGAAGCGTGGCTCCTGTGTGTGCCTAAGCTTGCCTAAGCAGCTGTTTTAGTCTGCTGAGCTGTCTCTCTGGCCCAAGGCTCAGCATTCTTGTGGTGTCAGCTCTCTCACACTGGTTTATAGGTTCACAGCAACCGAAACCAAAATGCAGTAGGCAATTTCATAGAAAGTGACCACTTACATCTAAAATACACACACAGAAAAGCACATTGCTAAAAGAGCCAGAACAACTCTGAAAACAAGAACAATGCATGACTCTTCAGACAGCTCAGAGGACTAAAGCACCTGCTTAGGTAGAACACAGCAGCCTAGGTTCAATCCCCAGCATGCCGTGCTGGCCCCACCCCCAGGGCACACTGAGAATAGTGATTGAGACTGGGTGTGGTGGCGCACACCTGTAATCTCAGCGCTTGGGATGCTAAAAACAGGAGGATCATTATGAGTCTGATCTATGTAGTGAGACCCTGTAGACCTTGTACTAAGTACATTAAAAAAATAATGTGTAAGAGCTTCCACGGCCTGACCTCAAGGGTTATTACAGAGAATCCAAGACAATGTGGCATCAGTGTGGAAACACTGAGGGGTGGCTCTCCTGTGGCACTCTGCCACCCTGCGTAGGCCGCACAGCATGGACATGAGTCCACCAATTTACATCTTGGTGCAGCTCCCTGTCACCTTCCTGGATATCCAAGCTGCCATCCAACTGCTTGCTGCCCTCCCGTGTCCTGGGGAGCTGTCAGGTGACAGTGTCTTGTTCCCTCCTGGGTTCTGAGAGACCAGAACATGGTGGTGGGCCAGGAAGCTCTCAGCACAAGCTTGGATTTGGCTGCTGGGCAGTGGGGTCCTCGTCCTCATGTGCCTCTATTGCTTAGTGTCACCCTTTTGGTGGGACAAGGACCACGGGGAACTGGATCTCTGGCTTTTCTGGCTTTCAGTGTGGAGGCAAGAAAGTGGCTTACGCAGCCTGATGGCTGAGCCAGTAGGGCCTTGTCCTGTCTTGTATGCACTTGACATGAGTCTGGAAACAGGCCCACGTGTATGTTAGGTATCACATGTGATGTTATATTATATGGAATATATATTTTTAAAAATCTGAGTAAACCCAGGGCCTTCACATCTTCTTTCCTTTGTAAAATGTTTAAACATTTAGAGACAGGTCTCACCAAGTTGCTCAAGGTGGGTTGTAGTCCTCCTGCCTCAGCTTCCAAAGTCAACCGATTTTTGACAAAAGTGCTAAGGCAACTATGTGACAGTGGAACTTTGACAGGTCCTTAGCGGACACCTTCTTAATCATGCAATTCAGCCATCCCAATCCTAGATATTTATTTATTCCCAAGAAATGGAAGCATGTGCTCATACAAAGTGCTAGAGGGTGCGCAGCAGTTTTATTCTTAACAGCCCTGAATTGGATTGGAAATGAATCAGAAATTGTTCAACTGGGTAGGCAGACTGTGGTGTGTCCACACCATGGAATAGTATTCAGCAATAAAAAATGGTGAACTGTGCTCACAACAACATGGCCTAATCTCAGGATAATTATAGTGTGTGTGTGTGTGTGTGTGTGTGTGTGTGTGTGTGTGTGTGTAGAAGCAGACAGAAGAGAGTGCCCTCGGCTGGGGACACAGTCGTGTGGCCCTAAGGTGCTCCAGAGGCAGGTTCCCTGCAGCAGGGCTGGTGGAGGAAAGCACATTCTGTCACCGTAAAATTTGAGGAATTGCTGGGAAATGGCGTGCCTGCCCGGGTGAAGCCAGTGACCCTCTGCCATTCAAGTCTTGGCGAAGCTTTTTCAGACCTACATGGCCAGACTCTGTTTCTTCCAACCATTCTTGACGCGGGGGTGGGGGTGGGGGTGGGGGTGTCTGCAGGCCCTTGGGAGCTCACTCCAAGCTCGGAGGTGGTGGTTCTGCCCCTTGCCCTTGCCCTTGCATTCAGGGAGCCAGGCAACTTCGGGCAGTTGCTGAGGGAACGGCTAGGGTGATGCCACACTGTTCGAAGTGCCTTTTAGAAACCTCAGAGAAAGGAGGCGGAGCCATTACGGCCCAAAGTGAGACCGGAAACTTTAGAGTAGAAGTGTCAGGGCGACCCTGTGCAAGGGAGAGGCGGAGCATAACGCTGCGCCACGACGCTTGGCCAGCAGGCTTCAACCGCCCTGGGGCAGGACCCAGGGGAACCTCTGACCTAGGCCCCAGGGAAACCCACTGATCCAGACTCAGGGAGACCTGCTGAACCGGACCCCAGAGATCCATCCAACCCCAAACTGGGAACCTGCTCAATCCAGAACCCAGGGACCCACCAGACCCATCCCTGGGGGCCCCCCACCCAGAACCTAGAGACACCCCAACTAGACCTCTGTGGACCCGCCGACCGTCGGAACCCAGGGACCTGCCCAACCCCGACCCTGGGCCCCCTTGGCCCGCATGGCTCTGCTTCCCGCGGTCCCTGCAGCCCCCACCCGAGGAGATAACCATTTATGTCACACTGCGACAATTATTCTGCATAAAATTATCATTAAAAACCCTAATTTTTCAGCCTCCAGCCTGCCAGTAGCCTTTTAGCATTCCCCAGCGCGGCCGCGGGGTGATGAGCGCTCATTACCCGGCGTGGCGCCCGCGCGCAATCAGCGCTGCTCCCCGCGGGCGGGCGGACGGGCGGGCGGGCTGGCGGGCGGTGCAGCAGGTGGACGGTCGGGGAGCCCGCGCACCCCGGATCCTGTGGCCGGTGCAGCCCGAGGTCGGGGCGCCTCAGGCCCAGGGTCAGGGTCCCCCGCGCACCCGTCTGGCCCAAGCGCCTCCTTACCCGAGCGAGGCCGGCGCGCGGCACAGGTGCAGGGGAGCCAGGCCGTCGGCGCTGGCCAGGTCCGGGTCGGCGCGGTGCCGCAGCAGCAGGCGGGCGCAGGCAGTGTGGGCTCCCAGGCAGGCCTCGTGCAGGGCGCCGCGGCCCCCAGGGGTGGCATCGGGGTCAGCGCCACGGTCCAGCAGATGTCGCACGCAGGCTGTGTGGCCGTGGGCCGCCGCGATGCGCAGGGGCGTGGTGAGCTCGCGCTTGTACTCCAGGGTCCAGAGACCTGTCAGGGAGGCGCAAAGGTTAACTGAGGGCAGCAAGTGGGGGACCCCTGAGTACGGGAGGGTGGAACCATTCTCTCGGAGTGGGGGCAGGCGGGTGTTCAGGGGACACACGTGAGAATGGGGTCAGGGAGACACCCACAGGGTCGCAGAGATGCAGGCAGAGGGGATGAGAGAGGGGCACTGGGAAGGAGCTGGCGGATGAGAGATGGGGTGGGGGTATGGGCGCCGAATGCAAGGTGTTTTGCCTGGTGCGGGTGGACTGGGGGATGGGGTGCGACTGGAGGAGCTAACAGATAGCGGAATGAATCTAAGTGCGGAATCCAACCCTTCCCCAGGTTTGGGTGGGGTAGCTTGCCGTGGGGTGGGCGTTGAGCCCCAAGCTTACCCTCGTCATAGAGAGACACAAAGGGACCAAACAGGACTGCCCACCGCACCAAGGCTGCTCAAGCTAAGACCCCCAGGAAGTGTAGCCCGCTGGGGATGGCTGGAGTTTCCAAGGCTGCTTTGATCAGCGCCATCCTGGTCGGTTTCTTTGCACTTCTTAGGGGCGTGTGAGGCGTGTCTAGGGTTGCGCTTTCTGGAGGGATGAATGGAACGGGTGCTGTACATTTCCCTTCTCTGAAAAGTTTGGTGCTTTCAAAAAGCCCGTGGAAGGTTGTTAACAGACAGAGGCGCCCATGGAAATGGGGGGAGGGGCCGGAGAACACACATCAAGGGGCAGGGTGCAGGCGCCAGGCCTTCTGATAACGATGGAGGGATCGATACCGGGGCTGTAACGAGCTATGAAGGAGACCCTTTCTGCAGGCCAGCTCCTTCCTGGGACCCATGCTGAGCGGATCTGAAAGGCTACTCGTTAATTACCTACCTGCTTGTGGAGCGAATCCCAGCCTGCCCCTGTCCTGAAGGCCCAGCCTGGAGCTCACTGCCCACTGAGTGGGGGCGGGACAGCCTGCTGTCCCTGGCAGAGCCCTGGTGGCCCAAGGAGGCCCCAAATGTGGGGCCTGTGTGGGTTTGGGCTGTCCCTCCTGGTGAAGATGGTCCAGATGGATGGCAATAACTTTTCCTGCAGGGCCTTGGCTCCTCCATTCTATTTACATTACTGAGAAGCCAGGCTGATTCACTGCCTTCTCCAAAGCCCCTCTCGCCCACTGCCAGCAGCTGCATTCGCCTCTCGTGGGTTCCTGAGTCTCCTGCTAACTGATGGGAAGGGCCGGGCTGGGCCTCTGGCTTAGCCACAGTGTAAGGCCAGCCCCTGTCCCCACATCCCAGCAGGTGCCACTGGGCTTCCTGCAGGCCAGACAGAGAATTAGGCTTTGGAGGCAGCCCTGAGTGAGCTGCGCAGGAGCCCCACTCTGGCCCCAGTTCTGTCACCAGCAGAAACATGGTTTGAAGTCACAGCTCACAGATCAGAGACAGGAGATGCTTGTAAATGATTTTCAGATCCCCCCATCTGGCAGAATTGGGGTGGATCCCAACAGACCATCTTCTGGTGGGTGGGGAGCCCACACCACCTGGGCAGGTGGAAGGCCTGCAATTCTGGTGGTCTGCTTGCTTGCCCCCAAAAGTGACCCTGCTCTGGCTCCCAGGAGGAGGTTCTGCTCAGGGCCCTGTGTTCCTTCCTCCGTGAATGCCGGCACTGTCTGCTCTCCCCTCGGAGCTGCGGCATCACAGATTCACAGAAGGGTCTTGCGTGGAGGTGCGTGCCAGGGCCTGGCTGTCCTTCTGCTCTGGCTCTGGCTTCCTGGCTGCCAAGTGCAGGTGCTGGCAGATCAGCGCCCAACCTAAGGCACCTCTTTGGAGGTGGGAGGCATGGAGGACCCTTCTCACCAGTCACTTTGCCTTTCCAAATGCCTTTCTCATGGCCCATTACCAAAAACCCATACCCAAAACCCACGATGATCAAATTCCCTTTACTGCTGGTACCCTTTCCATACCAATGCTCCTCAAATGCAGTGCAGATGAGCCTGAGCCACACTTGGGACCCTTAGCAGCCCCCAAAAGTGCATCACCCAGCTTTAAAGGAGCGAGGGTACCTGACAGCCCAAAGGTGGCTGGGGATTCTGCTTGCCACTCCATCTCCTCCTTACGGATCTCGAACACCACATTGGCATCCGGGAAGAGCTGGTCCATGAGGGGCTGGACGTGGCCCAGCTCTCCTCTGATTAGTGCAGCATGGTACTCGAGTTCTGGAGGCTTTTCTCTCAGCCGAGACTCTTTCTCCATCTCCTGAAAGATTTGAAGCTTTCCTCTGACCGCCTCTGGCCGTCTTTTCATCTCAAAGCAGTTGATTTCTGCACAGTTCTCAGGAGGGGAAAGATAGCTTCGGACTGGGAGCTATTTCTATTGTCATGAGTCAACTGTTCTTCGATTGGGGCCCAGCAGGGGAGTATTTATAAATCCTGCAGGCTCTGATGTGATAATGGTCACTTGATATGGCCAGGGTCCTGTGACCACAACATGCCTGGTCCTCAACCATGCCTGTGGTTATATAGATGCCAACTCCAGAACGAGACGTGCACACCGACCCCAACCCCACTGCCCACACACTGAGGGCAGACACCAGGCACCCGAGCCAGTTCTTATGGACTCCTTTCCTTTACCTGGTGTTTAGCAGCTTTGAGGACTCTCAGCTGGAGAAGGCACTGAATACAGCTGTTTGTGCAGGCTAAGACACTAAACACGACTTCCATAACCCAAAGCCACTAGGCCAATAAGCGATATCCTGTTAGGTTTAAGGCTGTGCACTAAACTGAGAATTTGGGTATGACAATCTTAAGCTCAGAGGAAAGAAGCAAACCGTTACTCTGTACAGCAGTATCTACTTACATATTATAGCATCTCTTCCTAATCGTGTCCTTGGGAAGGGAGCGGCATAGCCAGGACTGTTCCAGCTCTGATTCAGGCTGCTGCCTCACAATCCATCCTCTGTCCATCATGCTGTCCAGCAGCCTGGATTGCCCAGTGGCACCTGCTCCAATGTGGGACACCAGTGCTTGTGGCCACTTTCTGAAGGGCTCTCCGCTGTTCAGAATCTAGTTTCCCCCTCAGAGAAGGAGGTCCTGGTTAGTGCTGCCCATTCAGGAGGCCGGAACTACAAGGCGCCTGCTGTCACTCTCCAGGCTCCATGTTTGTGTGTTCTGGGAGCTAGGAAATGTTTCTACACTGATACATGCTTGCAAGAAGTTAACAGAGAATAATATTTCATAACACTTGAAGGTGACAGGAATTCAAATGTCAGTGCCCATGAATCAAGGCTACTGCTCATCGATTTATGATTTGCATATTGTCCGCTGGGGCTTCCCAGTTCTTCATGGCAAGGCTGAATGGTTTCAACAGTAACCACAGAGCCCACAGTGTTGGAAATATTTATTATTGAGCACATTTAGGGAAACTTGACTCCTGGTTGAGAAGTTAAGAGACTTAGTCTTGTACCCTCAGCAAATGCTTTTTCATACATTTTATTAACAAAGCATTACTACTTAAAGATTTCTTCTTCTGGCTTTGAGGGGTAGCTTCTTGCTTTCTGTCACTGCAAACTCTAGGGATGGATGTGTGCTCTAGGGTCATAGGAACCATGAGGAGGGGCATGAGTATTCCCAGGTGGAAGACTGTGAAGGGCAGACCAGGGGTCCCCAGAGACATCATCACAGGCTGTGGTGGCCTGGAGTTTATTTGTGTGGCCAAGAACTGATCTCCAAATAGGCATTCAATTAAAAAAAAACACTGTAAGTTCTTTTATTAGTAACTTACTGCATATTGAATACCCAAGATCTAATAATCATAGTGATCCTCCAATTTTCAGCCTCCCCAGCACTGTGATTACAGCCATGTGCTACCATGCCCAGTCTCAGCACAGCTTGTGGTGCCAGGGATTGAACCTTGATCCCTGTGCTTTCCTAAGCAGGCACTTGGTCTGCTGAGCTATCTCACTGGCCCTGTTAATATTTAGATTTTAAAGCATTCAAAATTTTAGAGTTTTGGATTACTGATGTTGAACCAGTAGAGTCCATGCAGTTCTAAAATCTGAAACACTTCTGGTCCTAAACAAGTCCCGCAGGTGAGGGGCAGCTCCGGACAGGTCGGGCTGCTTGGTCGCCACTTGGTTGTGAGCAGTAGTTGTGTCTTTCAGTGGTAGTGTTAAGCTCTCTGGCTATTTCATTTCTGCCAGTGCAGCCACGGCCCCACTTTTCTATGATGGATTCTTTATAATTAGATACATTTCTGAAGGATTCAGTGAAGCATAACTGCACTGTGATACAGGAGAAGTTTGCCTTTCACTCTGAACTGGAGGATGTTTTCGTAGCTGATACAATTTGTCACCGGATATTTTTAAAAGGAGTGGGGCTCTGGGGGTGAGTGCAAGAATAGAAGCCATTGCACACAGCCGTTCATTGCTAAATTTAGCTTCCCATGTGGTTTGGTCAGCAATACCCTAAATAGCCAAGGCTGACCTCAGTAGGTAGGGACTAGTAGGCAGGAACAGACTTGGTTCTTCATGAGACCTTTAAAAATAGCTCACGGTGGACGATGTTGCCTTTGTAAATAGGACAGGCAGATGACTTGACTGCAGACATTTCTTTGAAATGAGAATGGACACACAGCTGTCACATTAAGCGCATCTGAAGACCGACCATCCACTCGCTTACTCAGCCCAGCATGGCGTGATCTTCGTCATGTTTCACGGTGTGTCATCAGACTTCGGAGATGCAGAGACAGAAACTACGACACCCCAGCTGGAAGGATCACGTTAGGCCTGGGAAAAATGTTTTAACTGGGTTAGGAGAAAGATGTCTTGGGAATATTCAGACAAAGCCTCCATAAGCTAGCATGGCATGGCACTCAGGAGGTCCCCAGGAAGAAGTCAAGGTGGGCCAGGAGAGCTTTCCTCTGTGACCCAGTTATTCCTTATCTGGAGGGGACACAGGCGACATGTGTCTATGTCTCAACCTGCGGTAAAAAGAGCCTTTTGGAGAAGATGGAAAAACTGTGGTTCTTTGGGGCCGGGGAGATGGCTCAGTAGAATAAGCGCTTGACCGGCAAACTCAAGGATCTGAGTTCAATCCCTGGTTCCACCAAAAAAAAAAAAAAAAAAAAAACCAAACAAACTGTGATTCTTTCCTTAGCAAAATCTGGTTAAATTACCCAAACCAAATAATAACTTTATGTCTCTAGTGCAGCTGGAGCCTGGGCTCAGGGAAGACAAAGTTTCCCTAAGGGGGAAAGGGCTGGGCCTGAGCTGTGGGATTCGAGTTTCATAAGGAGCGCGTGGTCTAGCTCCCTCGTATGCACAGCTGGCACAGGGCTCAGGCTCCTGTGAGACTCTCCTGTGTGCTGATCTGTCGGGAGGTGGAGTGCCAGCGGGAGCGGGAGTGGTGGAGATCTTCTGTAAAGTCAGAGGAAGCCTTGTCTGACAGCCTGCGGCTCACTCCTGCTCTGCAGCCTGCTGTGGTACCAGTCCCTGGGCCCTGGGGGTTGGGACCCTGTGCTTCCACAGTGGTTAACACCTTGGCTGTGATGTGGAATCATCTGAGGAACTTCTGAGGTGCTGGTGCCCGACCCCAGCCTTAGGTATTCTGGTTGGAAAGCTCCTCACAGACCAGAGCAGGGAGCTGATTTTTTTTTTTTTTAATGTATTTGATACAGGGTCTCACTACTGAGCTCAGACTCCTAGGGATCCTCCTGTTTTCAGCCTCCACGGTGCTGGGATGCCAGGCATGTGCCACCATGCCCAGACTCCAGTGATTTCATTGATGCTCAAGCTGAAATTAAAACTCCAGGCATGTAAGACCATGTTTTCTTGTAGTTGCCTTGTTTCTGACCCTAGAGTTTTTCTTTCTTGTTGGGAAACTCAGAGCTTGTTGGTGCTACAGGTGAGTGGGTGTTTGTACACAAATCCAGGTGTCACAAGTCAGCAAGTGATGTGGCGGTGTTTTTAGACACAGGAAGTATGTGTGTACAGGAAGAGTAAAGTGTCAGTGGGGTGCCATAACACCCCTTACTGGGACTCTTGGCTTGGCAGAATTCAGCATCTTCCCTAGGGTCCCTGAGGCACCTGAGTCTTAACTCCTGGCTTTCTTTGACTTCTGCGTTTGTTCCAGTTGTGCATATGTTTCCCCACTCTCACACTAGCACACACAGTCAGGTCACACGTAGCTTGGCACTTAAGCTGGACTTGGAGTGGCTTTGCACTCTTGTTCAACCTCTCTTCCGGTTCTGCTTCCCCTTTCCAGTGCCACCATTAAAATCCTCCCCCTTTCCCTTGTAGTGTGGTTCCATGCATTCTTGGGCCTTGGGAGTTGTGGTAGTAGGTTAAAGAAATGTTTGTGAACAAATGCAAGGGTGTCCCGGAAAGAAAGGGATTCTAATTTATGTAGTTTTCTCCTACTTAGTCCATTTTTAGTTCTTCAGATGAACCATCAAATGTATGTATTTGATGGAAGAAGAATCTCATTTGTATGGCGGACCATGGCAGAGTACTAAACAAATGTAATTGCTGTGGGCTTTTCTAGCTGAGTGTGGAGTGAATTTAGGAAAAGGAAAAAAATCCAGCAAGAGAGGATGCCCAGCTTTTGTCCAGATGACTGAGTGAATGGATTGAATTTCCCCAATAACAAGACTGTAAGAGCGAGATATGAACGTAATTTTGCAAAGAATATTTTTGGAACTCACACAGTAAGCACAACGTTGAGTCTGCAGGAGGCACACAAGCTAGTGCTGCACGCCTGAGCCTCGTGGTGTGTGCAGCTAATGAGGAGGGACTTTGGTCCCTCGACCTAATGAGACAAAAAGGGTAAGAAACTACCATAAGGTTATACTGGGAGGCACAAAAGCCTTGTCAGATTGGTGACTATGTTTTTGCGTGACGTGGAGATCCCGGCTTCCTGCCACTGAGCCTGCAGATGGTCTTCCCCTCAGCAGCCTCAGAGGGTCAGCGCTGCCCGTGCTCTGTGGGACAACCCTGCAGCCTGCTCGGGGTCGACCCCTGGATCTCAGCACGGGCTTTCTCCTCAGTCCAGCTTTCCGCACTTTCTGGCTGAGACAGAGTTTCCAAGATGGCAGGGTGTCTCTGCTGTCTCTCCCATTGTGGAGAAGGGCCAGGGTTCTAGATCTTGCCTGAGCCACTTCCTCCTAGAGCCAGTGTCCAAGTGAGGGGCTC